TTATATATATATATAATTTTATATTAATTTAAGATGATTTGATATCTCATTCTTGTAAAAAAAATTGACGTAATATATACATTTTAAAATATACAAAAATATGAATACTTTATTTACATTCAAATTATTTTTCAATTTTAACAAAATTTGATATAAACATACAAGGTAATATAAAGTTATAATTCAATAAATGTGTCGACGACAATCACATTTAATTAAAAATTATTGAAGCTGTGAGTAACTATTAAGCCTACTCTGGACCTAACAGATCTAACTTATGGAGTAAGCTTGATCAGTAGATTCATGGCCAACCCAAATTCACCTCATTGGCTTGTAGCAAAAAGGATTTTAAGGTATATATAAAAGGAACCACTAAATTTGGAATACTCTATAAAAGAGGCAGCAGAAATGCAGGTCTTGAATCTTACACAGATAACAACTATGCTAGAGATTTGGATGATCAAAAGAACACTTCAAGTTTTGTTTTCATTATGGGATCTGGAGCAATTTCATGGGTTTCGAAAAAAACAGCCAGTAGTGAGCCTATCAACCACAGAAGCTGAATACATTGTTGTCGCGCTTTGTGGTTGTCAATGTATTTGGTTTAGGAGAATCCTAGAGCAACTCGGAGCTGCCGAAAAAGGAAGCACAAAAATTCTTTGTGACAACAACTCTATAATTCAATTGTCCAGAAAATCTATTTTCCATGGATGAAGCAAACACATTGAAGTGAGATTTCATTTTCTCAGGGACTTGGTAAATGATGGAACTGTGAAGCTGGTTTTTTGTAGCTTTGAAGAGCAGATTGTAGACATAATGACAAAGCCACTCAGATTGGAGCAATTTGTGAAGCTCTGTGGGATGCTTCAGGGATAGTTATTTTGAATTCTCATGTAAGTGCCATGAAATTAATTTGGCATTTCTATTTTGCATTTAGTTTTACTTATGCACATGTAAAAGGCTATAAAAAGTCTGATGCTCATTTTCAATAAACAAGTATTATCAATTCTCTTCATTGTTCGTGTTATTGCATCTCTGTTTCTACATATATATTATATAAAATCCAATTTCCTAAATGTTTGCAATTTTTTTTAGTGCTAATAACTATTTTCTCTAGTTGTTATTTATTTGAACCAAACACTTCATGTAATTGTTAATTCGGTTGGCCAATTTGATTTGATTTTTGGAACACTATTTTTTTTAAATATCTATTTATAATATATGAAATATGAATTATTTTTATTACATCCGCATGTCACTTTAAAATAAATCTTAGATATTGCTATGTCAGTGGAAAAACTTACATGTCATTCAACAATCTCTTTCATTCTAAGTTGAACCGTTTTGTATTAGGTTGACATGTCACTTTAAAATAAAGTTTAGGCATTATTATGTCAATGAAAAAGCTTACGTATTATTCTATAATATCTTCCTATTTGGTACGCATTCGACAAATATACTAATTGTTGTAGATAGTAAAGAGGATATAAGTTCAAGTATCAAATCCACATAAACTTGTGTAATAATTAATCTAATTTAACATTAATTAAAGGAAAAGAAAAATATAGATTTATTTGATGAATGCAATCAAGATAAGTATAATTTGTTCTTTGAAATTGGGTTACTACAATCAGGAAACACCAAGGTCTAGATCCAGCAATATATGCAAAAACATGGATGAGTGACTCAGGAAGACATATATAAGTTCAAGTATCAAATCCACATAAACTTGTGTAATAATTAATCTAATTTAACATTAATTAAAGGAAAAGAAAAATATAGATTTATTTGATGAATGCAATCAAGATAAGTATAATTTGTTCTTTGAAATTGGGTTACTACAATCAGGAAACACCAAGGTCTAGATCCAGCAATATATGCAAAAACATGGATGAGTGACTCAGGAAGACATATATACATAGCTCCATACATTGAAGGGTTAGTTTTTTTAATTTGTTTTTTAATCATGGAAATTTGATAACTAATTTGTTTGTCATATAATGTACGTCCCATTGGCAGTTAATTGTAATCATTCCTAAGGATTATACCGTGGTGTGGTTTTGTTTACTACATTGAAAACCAACCCAGGAAATGAAAAGTCAATTACAATGGTAACTATAATTTTTCATTATGTTTTAAAACTGTAACTATATATATTGGCTAACATCTGTTTTTATTTCAATTAATTAGAATCGTTTCTGGAACTAATATTTTACGTGGAAGAGCCAAATCAAAGACATTGCACTTCATATACCCTAAGGTTGGCAAATTATTTAATAGAGGCAATAATATTTGAATTTATCGACTTTGAAAATAATATTGTTATTTGTTTCTCATTTTAGTGTAATAAGCAACAAGACCCGTTTGAATGTGGCTATTACATCATGTATTGGATGAGAGCCATATAGTTTCTACGAGTATTACTGATTCTTGGGGGCAGGTAATTCATATCAAAATTTATTTAAGTATATTTACCTTTATGATAATTAGCATTACATATTAATGACACAAATTAATGTTTCAGGTCTTTCAAGATTCATCTCCATTGCCCGAAGATGAAATCACAAAGATAAGAGAACAATGAGAAACTTTTTTACTTCAAACTATATGATAGTTACATTTCTAAGTTTAATTAGTTAGTTGGATATTATGTTTATAGTTTCATAGCATTCACAAACTTAGGTTCTGTAGCTTTTTTAGGATATTAGGGTTTACATTATTGTCTTAATTCATGCTTTTTAATATTTATATATTATTTTCTTTTTGTGATTCAATTTTAAAATATAAATTATATTTGATTTTGTATTATGGACTGCCTAGGTTAAGTGTACTACTTGATTATGTATTCTGGATTGTATGCAGGTTTTGGGTATATCAAAAAGTAAAGCAAATCTTAAAAAAAATGCATAAATTTACGTCGGACTATACCATGTCTTACGTTAATTTACGTCAGATATGGTACAGTCCGACGTAAATATTTTGGTGTTATTTTTCTTGTTTTTACAACTTTTTTACGTCTTCCGCATTCACGTCGAAATTTTTTCTGACGTAAAAATCTCAAAATAACAGGCGTAAAATACCTTTTTTACACTAGTGGTATGAAGGCTTGAGCCCTTAGCTCATAGTTTTATAAGTGGGTGTTTGAAAAGGCCTAATCCTTTCATCCATGTTATTTTCAAAAGAGCCTTTAGGCAATTTAAAGGAAAATGACAAATTGAATTGTTTTGCTGAGTTGTTCAACAAGAGAATTCCATGTGATTAGATCTCCAGAAGTCTAGTGAATCGTAGTCCCAAATGAGGATGTATTTTTTATGTAGGTGCTTCGTAGAAACAAGAAACATTTGTTAAGGAATCACTACTAAAAAATTAAAATTTGTGACGAAAATTTGTGACGGATATATATATATATATATATAATTTTATATTAATTTAAGATGATTTGATATCTCATTCTTGTAAAAAAAATTGACGTAATATATACATTTTAAAATATACAAAAATATGAATACTTTATTTACATTCAAATTATTTTTCAATTTTAACAAAATTTGATATAAACATACAAGGTAATATAAAGTTATAATTCAATAAATGTGTCGACGACAATCACATTTAATTAAAAATTATTGAGCGATGTAATTGTTGATAAAAGTTATACTAATTCGTTTGAATTCTGCTCTTAATTATTTATTATAAATCTGGAATATAATTTTTATATGTCAAAAAAACATTTATTTATAAAATAATTTATATTTAAAATATTTATTTATTATAAATTTTTGTTATGTAAAAATGAATATGTATCATATACATTACACAAATTAAAATACTAATTTAAAAAAAATGTTTTCTTTTCTAGATTTTTTATATATTCAAGTTATGCTTTTATATTTAAATAAACTTGTATACAATGCACAAATATTATGATTGGTTTATAACATAAACAAAGTTGCTTATTGATAATATTACATAATCAGAGTATGATTACACAATACATGTATGAAAAGCGACCACAATTGAAATGGGCTAAACATAGGTTGAAGATAAAAGCACCCAAAGGCAACTAGATGAAAGATTGAACTTCAATTTTACCTAGTATTATAAATATTAACATAAAAATAACATAAATTTCCTTCAATTTTGTGTGCTCCCGGTGGAGAAGGGTTATGCCAATGGAACACTACTTGTGCCAAACAACATAATTGTGGCCACTAGTTGATAATGTCCATTCCCTCCCGGATGGACACCATGAACCATTTCCAATCTTCACGCACACATTTCCCCCAATGATTGCAGAGTAAAGGTTGTGCTTGGCCTCCAGAATCTTAATAGGTGATCTACTATGAATACCTTCACGCTTGCGAACTTCAATCTGTGGTTTACATGTAAATTAGTTACCTAAAGTTCCTTTGTAAAAAAACATATGATCATGCTAGTAATTCTTTTACATACCAACTTCACAATCTGTTCTCGAATTGAGTCGCCCCAGTCATATAAGTGGTCATAAAAAACTGTTGGTATTCCCGGATGAGTCAATATGTATGCATACCCCTGCAAAATCCAAAAGTGAGAAGTACATAAAACAATTTATAAATATCAACGAACTCAATTTAATTAAAGTGAAATTATTTTGTGTATGAAGCTTAAAACCCGGGAAAAAAATGTTTATAAACTTGTTGTAAGTATTAATAGGCAAGTCATAACAACTTGGATCAGAACAATCTAGGAGGGAAAAAAACATTGTCATGTCTTCATGAAGAATCGATAAAGACCACAGACAAATTTAGTATTGTGTGCATGTTTGACCATTTTTTTTTATTAATGAAGAGTTGAATCAAAATTTTTAAAACGACATAAAAAAAAAAAATCTATTTCTTGCTACTACACTATTATTTATCTTTACTAATATTCCTTATTAATCTGTTTAAAGTCAATGATTTGATAAGTAGTTTTGAATGGTCAATGGGTAACATGCACTAGTATTCTTTATAAACGACTAATAAGGAGAATACAATTTAAATTTATTTTCATCTTCTTTATGTGTCGGGAAAAGAAAAATAGAAGACATAATGAACAATAGTTAAGTGTGGTATAGGAAATAGACAAATAAAATGAGAATATGTTACCAAACTATTAACATGCACATTAGATAAACTACACATATAGGATGATAATATTATTAAATTTAGAATTATGTCAATCAAGTAACTAATTCTTTATAAACGACTAATAAGGAGAATACAATTTAAATTTATTTTCATCTTCTTTATGTGTCGGGAAAAGAAAAATAGAAGACATAATGAACAATAGTTAAGTGTGGTATAGGAAATAGACAAATAAAATGAGAATATGTTACCAAACTATTAACATGCACATTAGATAAACTACACATATAGGATGATAATATTATTAAATTTAGAATTATGTCAATCAAGTAACTATCGCACCCGGGCTCCGAGCCCGGATTAGCAATACAAAACAATCCCGGACACGCGCTGCACGACGTCAGCCCGGTATTTGAGCAAATCACACCCGAACCCGAGGATCTCGCCCCAGACCAGATCCGCCCTTCAACTATATCATATTATATTGCAATATATTATACGATAACATATCTTATCTCAGGCCCAAGGCCCAAGGCAAACCTAAACCACCCTAAGGTACGTACATTATATATATGAGACTATTATTCATGCAAACCCTAACTTTGGCATCGGAGTCTCTTTTGCAGGTACCTCCCCCATCTTGGAGCACCAATACATCAAGCA